GGGGCAGGGCGGGGCCCTACTGTCCGGTCCGGCCCCGCCACCCTGCGCCCCGCAGCCGGCGGCGTGTAAACAAACAGAGGCTTATCACTGGGCGATGCGTCGGCACCTTGCGATGGGGCGCCGACCCGCGGCCGGCCGTCTGTTCCCAACCGGTCGGCTGGGCCGACGGGGCTGACGTCATAGAGGATTTGGCTGAGCCGCAGGAGGTGTCAAGTGTTTGGGGCGGCAAAAGCCGAGGCGACGTCGCGTTGCGCTTCGCTCCGTTTCGCGGAAAGGGGCGGCAGCTCTGCATCGCGTCGGATTCCTCGGCGGACGAGTTGGTCGGGCTCGTCGGGCCAGCCGGTCGGTCGGTCGGACCTCGTGCGTAGCGCCCGCCGCGCCCTGACGGTCAATGGTCAGCATCTTATTTATTGCGAGCGGAGGGAAATTTAATTACTAATCTTTTTATTTTACTTTTGGAGCGCGCCGCGCCGCCCGCGCCGTTTGGAATCTATCGGCCTGCTCACGCGGCTCGTTTCGTCTGTCGGTCGTACGCTCGACCGGTCGGCCGGCCAGGACGAAATCCCTGAAAAAATTCCTCATCAGTGGCCAAAAGTCGCCTGCACCTCAGGATTTCTGGCATTCCCGGCTCCCTGGCGGAAAGGTCCTTTTTCAGGCGCGCGAGCGGGTGCGCCCGGCCCCGGCGTGGTGTAGCGCGGCCAGGCGCTGTGGGGCGCGGGCCGCCCTCGTGCTTCGTCTCTTTCTTTTTCTCCCCCTCTTTTCTGTTGTTTTTCGATTGTTTGTTGAATGACGCGCAGCCACAGCATCGCCCCGTGTTTAATTGGCACCGGGCAGTGACTACACTGTCCATCTCACAGAGGAGGACTTTTGCACACATATTGTGCGAGGGCTAGTTCCTTTCCCTCTCCCTCGCCCTTTCCTTCTCCACGACGGCGGCGGAACGACCCGCGATCTGCACCTCCAATAAACGTTTCATTACAGCCCAACACGGCGCGCGGCCGCGTCCGAACCGTCCGTGTCCCTAATTATTGCGCAGGTCCCCGCGGAGGGCGCGGCGGTGGCGCTGCCTCCCCGGACGCGGCCCGTAGGAAGTGCTGCGGATCCCGCTATAGAAGTGCAGAGCAGAGCCGCCCGCAATAACAGACTTTGAATAGTTCGCGCCGTTCGATGATGATGCCCCGCTGTTTTAACTTTACGACGACGACGCTCTCGTCTGTATATGCATGCGATTGTCTTCTCTGTACTGTATTCAACTTCACTTCAAAAAAAGAGAACGAAAAAATTCACTCGGTCTCTGATACTTTTTTTGCTTTTGTTTCTTTTTTTGCCTTCTTTCTTTTACTGTCTGCCTGATTGAATTCGCGAGCGTGCGAATGACCCGCGGGGCGTGTGGTGCCAGCGAGTGAGAGTGTCAGCACTCTGGACGGAGAGAGAAAGAGAGAGAGATCGGGAAAGAAAGTAAGCGAGAGAGAGAGAGAGAGAGAGTGAGAGAGAGAGAGAGAAGGACACTAACGGTTCAGGAAGCCAACAGTCGTGGCGTGGCGTCCCAACAGCACGGCCGTTTAGCAGAAGTCCTCTTTTTAATTGGGTTCAAATCAGTTTCTAGCGTCGTCCGGGTTGAGGTGGCGCGGTGGCCACAGCCATTGCATTTAATGAACACTCCGAGCCTCTCACACGCCCCAACGCCCCACTCCGTCAGGTTGCCCTCCTGTTTGCTTCCGTTCGCCTTTAAAAAAAATAAAAGCGAGTTGGCGTGTTTGTATTCTACCACTGTTTTTACGCGGTGGCGTTTGTCAAACGCCGAGGTGAAATGTCATTTGTTATTAATCGCAGAGTGAGCCGTTTCTCCGACACGTTTCCACGGCCTCGAGGTTATAGTGCCTACCCTTACAAGGGCTGCCTCGGCTGCACGACCTCTCATCATCTCCCGTCTCATTTAACCGCTTGACCCTCCGCACTCCTGACCACGTGGTCCTGCAAACCACCCTCAGCGCTTATTTACCATCTCCATGCTGACCTTTGTGTACTTTGAATGAATATGAGAAATAGTTAGCCTTTGAATGAATATGAGAAATATTTAGGCCCAATCAGATGAATGGCCCCTTATCTCTAGTATGTGTTAGTCTGTTTAGTCTTGTCCTACCTTTGTCTTTGTAAAATACCGTAGCGACTAATGTACTTGTGAGGGGGAGGGGAATTATTTGCTGTAATAATGTTGCAGGCTTGTGTGCTCGCGTCAAGATGAATGCTTGCTTCCCAGCTGGAAGCAAAAGCAGTTGTTGCTTTCATCCATCTCTCTCAGTCTTGCACGCGCGACTGCACCTCCATCTC